TACTACTACTACTACTACTACTACTACTACTATAGTTGCTGGATAGACTGCAGGTTCTTGGACTGAGGCAGCCCTAAAAACCAATGGAGATCAAATTGCAACACATCATAGGAATCTGCAACGGGCTTCTCAATATATAACTTCTGCCTATTGAGATTTTTTTGTTTACTTTAATAAAACAGAAGGCCTTCAAATGTAAACACATTGGCTAAATGTTTGGAGAGTTTCCTCGTTAGCCTACCATTTATCGGCAATGGCTTTTTATCTGAAATAGAGCCTATGGCAGCATCATATTGGCGTAATGTTTGATCTTTCTACACCTGTGCACTGTACTTACCCGTCTCTCGGTTTCTTTCTTCTCAGCTTCCTGTTTAAGCCGCTCTTCTTTGCGGGCGGCGAAGGAAGCCGTCAAGTCAGCTACAGAGGGTATGTTGTCCAAAGATGGAAGCCCTGAGGCCCCAGGTACATAACAGGGCTTATAGTTTGGATCCTTGACGTTGTCCGTAGATGATGCTGGTTAGAAAGTAAGCAAAAGAATATAAATGATCAGTGAAGAAAACCTGTTGGAACAACAGTATTTAGCAGTGATATAAAAAAAAAAAAAAGGCTTACCAGCTGCACTTTTTGATGTCTTTTCTCTGGTTTTGACAGCAAACTCTCTCTCTTCCTTTAGTTTCTCATCGTCCTCCATAAGAACAAGAACAACCTTGGCCTTGTCTCTCACATTTACACCCTAGCACAAATATGGCTACAATAAGCGTTCACTTGGCTCTGACCATTTCAGAAAAATTATTTAAGCCTGAAATACTTGTGCTTGAAGAAAACCCCAATGCTTTTTGCTAAACAAGATCAGAACTATTCAAGATCTAATTTAAAACAAACTATAGCACATGATTAAAAAAAAAAAAAAAAAAATTTTTATTCATGCTGTAGAGAAATTAAACGTGTTTGTTACTCTGAAAAGGTTTTCAGTTAGGAGTATCTTAAGCTGATTGAGGCAGCAAACCTAGACTACACTTTCATTCTTGCTGTAAACCTGGTCTGAAGGTTAATGACATAAATATTATAGTACCAGTAACTGTCTTAATGCATAGCATGAAATCCTTTAATGGAAGTTAAAAGAGTACATCCATTTGACATAATCAGGAAGTGTGTATCACCTGATCTTTGCCATCCTTTTCTACAAAGCGGTACTCTGTGAGAGCTTTGACAATGTAGATGTTGTCTTTCATCTTCAGAAGCACGCGATCATCACCGGTCTTCAGCAGGTACTCCAGGAGTGTCAGGGACTAGGATAAAAAACACATGACAACACAAACTCATTTATATACAATAAAAATGCAGTTTCCTATCACTACAATGCTTCTTGTTTTATCTGCATTAGGGAATAAATAGGACAAGAAAAAAGGAACAAAAAATATTGGTGCAATGGATGAAAGATAAGAAAAACAACTGAAAAGACATAATTTCTCTGGAACTGATGAGCCAACACTGAGTCATGTGGCTGACTGGCAAAGCTGAAATGGAAGCAGTGATATGGCTGATGTTCAGAAAGTAATAACTGCCACTTAATAGACTAAACTGTGCTTTTAAAGAGAAACTAAATATATTTTTGCTGTAAGTTTTTTTTTTTTTTTAAACACTAAATATTGAAAAACTTTACAAAGTTAAATGTTTATTTTTAAAACCTTGCATATTCCTATATAGATACTGTACATGCTACTTAGATGAAGAATGCCTTCCTTCTTCTCTGTCGGTCCCATTAGGGGTTCGTGACAGCAGATCAACTGCCTCCATCTCACCCTATTCTCCGCATCCACTTGGTGTGAGGGTTGGTGTGTCACACCAACCCTCACACCAAGCTGATAGAGGGTTCCCTATGTGCTAGCTTACTGTTATGCTGTTCTACTGAATTCATCTTACACAGTCTGTTTTATTAGATTATTTTTGCTTTTCATTTGATAATGGCTGCACAGGAAACAAGTAGAAACAGTGTTATGAAACTTAAGGGTAAGAGGCTTGGGGAATAGTTGAGGAGTTTAACCAATGCAACAATCCTTTTATTGTTAATCACAAAAATAAAACAAAAGCTGTGGTATATGAGGTTTTACATGCTGCCCTCACTCTAATTCAAACAATCAACACTGTGATGGATTAAAACTCAAACTAGTTCTTTTGTGTTAATTTTATTGATTTATTGTTTCCTGTGACAGATGACTTCAGTCAGTCACTCATGTAGTTTGGAGCAAGCTGCAACACACAATCTGTACAGCCATGTTTTGAACAGGCACAATCACACAGACATATTCAGTGACTGTATCGTGTAGCTGTATCAACATAACATGATTTTGCATGTTGTGCATTAAAGGGACATCTGGAAACTGTAGCTGCAAAAAAAACAAAAAAAAAAAAACAAATAAAAAAATAACCCTCACTTCAGATGGGCACCGCATTGTAGAGATGAGTAACAGAAGACAGAAACTGACTGTATCTGAAGATGAATGTTTCCCATCTTTTTTGTGAATAAATGGACAATTCCACACTTAACATCTCATCCCCGAAGAATCCAATATATGTCTGAAACCAGCATCTATCCTCTAAAGCAAACCCTTCTTTGTTCCAGTGTTACTCCTTCACCGTCGCTCACCTTGTGGATATGTCTCCAGTTCTTGTCGTCTTTCAGCCGTTTCCAGAGCATTGTCATGATCTCATTACAGGCCACAACGTTGTACGTTAGGTCGGAAATGTCGGCCATCTGAGAGCTGGATGGGCCCCATGGGTCATTGGATGTCGCCTCTCTCACCTGCAACAGAAGCAAAGAGAGTAGAAAGAGGCCAAAACAGCTTCAGGAAAGTTGAAAGTTTGAGATGCTAACTTATAAAATGTTAACATCAGGGTTTTGGAGGACTGGCAGCAGCAGGGCATCTCATGAGCCATGCTACCAAAGATGTTTAGTAATCAGTTCTCAAGGACATTATTGATCATGTTTGAGATCAGCATCCAAAAAAGGAGTTCATCTCTATATTTTCTTTGACTCTAAGAAATTCAGGTTCAGGGCTTAAAATTTATGGTTTCTGCTTTGTTTTAATTAGTAGGGTTTTTACTTGATTAACCCTTTAGTCACTCTAACCTCTTAAAGTATAAGCAATTGTTACCACACCAGACGACTTGAATTTAAAGCTACTAGTGTTCAAACACATGCCAGAAATGTATTATTTGTTGTGCATACAATGATGCACAGACTACATAATAAATATTTACCTTTATTGTCCTCCTAAATTTAACCTACATAATTTTTAAAATATTATTTGCATTACTGGATGAGGTAATATTGAATTGAAAGGCTGAAAACATTATGGTTTTGAGGTCATACACAATTTAAATCTAGCTTCACCTACCTTGACCTCGGCCTCAGAGTAGTTCTGGACCAGGTTCTTCAGCTGTCGACGGAGCATAGAAGACGTCATGATGTCCGGAGGAGAGGTGGGGAATCAAACCACCGCGATCTGATTTAGAGAAAACATGAGAACAAAGCAAAAGAAAACACAAAGAGTTCTAAAAATGTAACATTTTTTAAATTTTTGGGAATTTCTACTTCGATTACCAAGGAAATTTACCCTAACTTTTATCTGAAGCTACATCCACATATACATTTTTTTGCTAATTGTGCATCATTTTTGTGAAAATGCTATGTTTATTTTAGTCAGATTGCTTGGTTCAACATAACTGGTGTTCTGATTGCTAAGACCCAGTAAAATGTTATGTTGGACCAGGAACTAGCCAGCTGTTGGCCTATTCAGATCAGTTTTTCATCAGACAGCAAATTGGAAGAAGATAAACCCCATCTTTCAGCTTGTTGCACAATCAGTGAAGCAGCACAAGACTTTGACTTATAATAATGACTGAAAATCTTGTAGATCCACATGTCTAGGAGCATGTGTGTGATAAAAAACACTCACAAAATTTGGTGTAATTTGAAGTGCAGCGTCTCTGATGGGCTCACTTTATGAGCCGCAGAGAGTGAGCACTTGGACGGAGACTCAGGTGAACCCATGTGGAGTTTTTTTTTTCTATAGTTTCAAACAGCAACACTTTGTTTCTGTAATCACAATCAAACCTTTACAATTAAAAAGCCCACGAGTCGTTTATCAAGCTATTTCTTCAGTAGCCCTTAACATGAAAAGGAGATCCTCCCATCAAACACCTGTTTGTTTTATACACCGACAGCTGTATAATCTATACAAATAAACTGAGTGAGTTTGTCAGTTTTAAATTTGACCGTCCTGCTTCTGTCTTTATAGCAGAGATACCTGCAGCATTACATGGTGAGTCAAAAGGGAAGTCACAATAGCTCTATGACATTTATTTTCTAAAGCTCAAGTTATTTTATACTTTCCTGTTTTATATCATTCATAAAAACAGACAATATACTAATAAATGATGCCATTTTATATATCATTATTATTATTATTATTATTATAATAAATCCAGGCCAGGCCTACACAGCTTTTTGAAAACTTCACTCCAACTTGAACAAAATTCCATCATGGATATAAATTTGAGTGACCTCTAAGTTACATATGGGCAAGGTATGTTGAACGTGAAATGTGAAACAAATGCAAACAAACAGCAGGGTGCAAGATGCTAGCAGGCAGGGGACACATGGAACGCCATAACCAAGTAGCTGGCAAAGTATACAGAAACATCCGTGCCGAGTATGGCCTGAAAGTTCCAAGGTCAAAATGGGAGACGCCCCCTAGGATGGTCGAGAATGACTGAGCTAAGATCTTGTGGGACTTCCAGATACAGAAAGACAAACTAGAGATAACTAACCAACCAGACATAGTAATGGTGGAGAAGCAGAGGAAGAGGCTGCAACAATAGTGAATGACAGCAAAATCAGGAAGAAGGAACACAACAAGCTGGAGAAGTACCAAGGGCTCAGAGAAGAGCTCAAGAAGTTGTCAAGGGTAAAGGTAACAGTGGTCCCAGCGATGATCTGAGCACTTAGTGTAGTGACCCCCAAGCTAGGCGAGTGGCTCCAACAGACCTCTGTCCAGAGGAGCGCAGTCCTAGGAACAGCAAAGATACTGCGCAGGACCCTCAAAATCCTAGGCCTGTGGTAGAGGACTCGAGCTTGAATGATAGACCACCTGCAGGGCCGAGACGGGAATTAGCCACTGTTTCCCTAATGCTTCGCCGAGGCATGTTAATGCCAAGTTTTGCCTTGTCATTCAGTGACAATCATTTTTTATTTGTTGTTATTACTACAACATGCATATGCACAAACTTTTTTAATTAATTATTTAGAAAATTCTGTTAAAGTGGATGCTTGATAGTCAAGATATGCTGCAAGGCTAGATGCAGCAGCCCATGGTTGACTCCAACCTGAGGTTATTTGCTGTGTGTCCCATCCCCCACCTTCCTGTGTAATCTTCACTGTGCTGTTAAATGAATTCAAAAAAGCCCCCAAACTAAAAGCTAAAAAAACCCAACAACTAAAAAGCAGTCCGTTAACACTTTTGTCAGATGGTAGGAATCATTATAGTTGCTAGTGCAGAGGCAAAACTCTTACATAAAAATCTAAATGTCATGCATGGTGTAGATGCCACAAATGGAGAAAAACACTGTGAAAGACACAGTCAAAGAACTGCTCTTTCATTCAAACTGGTTTCCCTTTGAGCCCGAAAAAACCCCAAAACCCAGTCTGCAGCTGCATATAAAGTTATGGGGTTTTTTGTACTTCACTCTGGACCAATACAACTCTGACCTACTGGCCTGCTTTTTAATCTACAACTCAATTGATTTTGACGATGGCAATGCCACATATAACAGTAATCAATACACAAATCATATGCAATGCAACTATATGTTCTCGCGCATGAACAACACAGTGACATACCTTCAGTAAAATCGTCCTCTGTTGTAAAAGTCTAACTTTCGGTTGTATTTGTGCAGCTCCTGGCTCAGTTAGCATTCATCCTGCTGATCCCCTCTTCCTCCTGCCTGCATTGGTTTGTCTGAGGATGTCAGAAACCAGATCCTAACGCTGCAATGAGAAACCAGTCAACATATAAAAGAGCTGACCAGTGGGAGGTACACATAACTGGCTGCAAAGCGTAAACTAACCTACTGTAAGTGACAGCTTTGTCACTGCGACAAACATATATCCCCACCTACGTTAGCTCAGAATCTAGCTGAGCTACAAGCTAGTTAGCTACCAGGGCATGTTAGATAAATTTTAAGAAAAGAAAATTGCATGTTTGGCGCAACTGGATACTTAGTCTTAGGATACGCAGTCGTGGTGTTTGTAACAAGAGTCAGGGTAGGTGTTTTCAGGACCTCGGAGAGCGACTGAAGACAGTCAGCAGGCGTCAATATGGCTAACAGCCAAGCGGTGTTGTCAAGGCAGCGAGCTCCATCATAAATATCCGATTTTAGTGTTCAAATGGTGGGATATATTCCACGAAACGTCCCCTGCTTTTAGTTCAAAACTACAACTGACGTTTTGCATATCAAACATGCATATTTACAGTAAAAATAAAACACTAACCATGAGCAGATATTCAGGAATCTTCGAGGAGACGACACGACCGGACGGTTTCCGCTTCCGCAGTTTTCAGCACCTGCCAGGCCACGCCCCCTCTCAAAATTAGTGTTATTTATGTCTTTATATATTTATTTATTCATTGATTGATTTAAATTCCCAATATAAACAATCTAGTTCTCTTTTGTGCCAAAAAATAATTTTCTTTTTGTTTAAAATTTAAAATATCATTCAGTTTTATGGTAGTAAAGTATACTTTTTTTCTGTTGCCTACGGTTACGGTCTAGGCTTTAAATGACGTCGTTTGTCAGTTAGGTCCCCCTGAACAAAACACACATACACACATGCATACACACATACGCATACACACATACACACACATGCCCCCGTTTGAAAAGAGCTGAATAAATGAGTCACTACCACAACTCCCACATCAATAACAGTTGGACCAAGATGGCGGCCGAGGGAGAGTACGAGTCGATCCTGTGCGTTAAACCCGATGTCAACGTTTACCGTATCCCGCCGCGAGCTTCAAACCGAGCGTACAGGTAAAGACACACCAGTGGCTCGCTGACGTTGCTGTGAAATGCAGTTTAAATGCGTTTGTTGGGCGGGTTTGGGTGTTGTACTTTAACTGCTCGATAGTCAGCGCATGCTTTACAAATCACGGAGAGGGACAGTGCTGGCTTTATGCTCTGATGTCGGAAGCAGCTGATGAGATGAAAGTCCATCTCCAGGTGTTGTGAAGATGAAGAGAGGCTGAAATGTTGGTTGTTTGGTGTGCGGGGATTCGCTGAGCTGTCAGAGATGTGACCGGGGGTATTTGTCATCATGCTGGCTCGATACGGGCGGCTTGCCAGGATAGTCCCACTCTTCTCTGTGACAGCTGGGATGTCTTCTCCACAAACTGTTCAGGCTCTTCAGTCTGAAATCTTCTGTGTTTGCTTTTAATTGATCCTTTCAGATAAAATCTTCAAATCCATCCCGCTCTGCTGCACGGCTGTATTAACTTCCTGGAGCCGGGCAAAGATGTGCTGAAGCACTCCATTCTCCCTGCACCTGTTCCCTGAAACCCACCAGCTGAAATTATTAGCTGATATTCATGGGATCCTGCTTTTTTATTTTTTTTATTTATTTATTTTTTAATATGTGAACATTTGCTAATTCCATAGTTTCCATGTTAGTCAGCTTAACAGCTTTTGTTTTTTCAATCTAAGTTAATGTTTTTTTTTATTTAGGAATGAAGAAAATTGTTGGCTGCAGCCATGATACCTTCCCGTACAACCATGTTATGGAGTTCTCTGTCCCAGTCAGAGAAGCAATTAAATCAAAGAGTTCAAACACTTTTTTCCTAATAATTACATATACCTCTTTTAAGATTTTAAGAATAATCCCCAAATCGTACCTCTACAAATTAGAGAAGTAATGATAATAGTAAATACCAACAGTTAATTAGTTCATACTTCTAAGAAACATGCCATTAATAAAAAATCTTTTTAAATAAGTCTAATTTTTATAGTGGAATGTCGCAGCAAGAGTTGCCATAAGGCGCTTAATACTGTAAGGTAAAACACCTTACCTAACCTGAGATCTGACCCCCCAATTCAATTCAATTGTGCAAGCACTTGGTGACAGTGGGAAGAAAAAAACTCCCTTTTAAAAGGAAGAAACCTCCTAGTTCCTAGTTCCACGTGGGGGGGGCTTAAAACTGAAAATAAGGGAGCCATCTGAGAGTAAAGTGCTCTGTTGGGGTGATGCCGTAAACGGTGGTCATTAAGATCAGATGGTGATTATTCAAGACCCTGTATGTGAAGAGAAGGATTTTTAATTTGATTCTGGATTTAACAGGGAGCCAGTGAAGTGAAGCCAGAATGGGAGAAATATACTCTCTCTTTCAAGTCCCTGTTAGTACTCTGGTTACAGTGTTTTGGATCAACTGAAGGCTTTTTAGGGAGTTTTTAGGACATCCTGATAATAATGAATTACAGTAGTCAAGTAATAAATGCATGAACTAGTTTTTCAGCATCACTCTGAGACAGGGTCTTTCTAATTTTAGCGATATTGCCAAATGCAAGAAAGCAGTCCTACATATTTGTCTGTCATGCATGCTGATATCTTGGTCAAAAACGATTACAAAATTCCTGAAGTGTTACTGAAGGCCAAGCCGAGTAATGTGGAATAACATGACTCTAAGAGGACCTTGTTAGTGCACCCCTCTACTGCAGGTGTAGAAGAATATCAGACCATAAATTTAGTAATAAATTACACTAATTAAAAATAATTTGAATTGATCACGCAACACAAAAATATAACCCAAAACAAAATCTCTGTTTAAAAAAAGATGACATGTAAGTGTGAGCTTTTACCACCCTTTTTGTTTGTGAGCCAGAGCTCCAATGTGTAAAATAAATGCATATTTTCAGTGTAATCAAAGTAATTTGCTTTGTGATTCTGGAACATCTAAAAGGGCTCTGGAGATAAACCAGGAGGCTCAAGATTTCTTTTAAAGGGGTAAGAATGGAGGGAAAATGGGCCCATTTTTACCCATTTCTCTGTAAAATGCTCTTACACTTTCAATAGTATTTTAAATTAAACTGCTAAAAAGTAAAATTACTTTTCATGACATAACCACATTAAAGCAATAACCTTGGATATTTGCTTTTACAATTAAATAAATAATCCCACTTTAATATGTGTAGCATATATTAAAACTGCAATAATGAAAGTAAATGAACACCTAAATCAAGAAATATCAGAGAGAGAAAATAAAGATTCTCCTCATTTAAAATACACAAATCCTTTCAATACCACCTTCAAACATTTGTTAGATGTTAGAAATATAAATTTTCAACCAATTATCAATGAATCTCTCTGGATTTCATTGTTCAAAATAAGCAATAAAAAGAAGTCACTTTGGACTTCTTTTTAATGAAGTACATATTAGTGTCAGTGAAACAAGTGAAACCTCATTGGACTTTTGTCAGCACTCATGAGGCCACATTATGACATGAAAATAAATAACTGTTTAAGCAGCCCTGGATTCTAATCATTTAATCTAAAGGTTATTAAATTCTCTAAGAATTAAAAATGCATTACAAGAAGCATCACTTCTCTTTCCATTGTCTGTTTTGTAGCTTTATTTGGTGATATGCAAATAGGTAAATGTCTATGCACTCTAGTATGCCTCAAGCCCTCTATTCCACTATGCCAATCACACCTCAAAAGCCAGGTTTGGGTTATTCTTTAAGCAGAAATGTACTGTATTAATAGCCTGAGTTGGAGCATTTTCCTGATTTCTTTGTCTTGTTTGGAAGCCATTTACAATGTTTTTTTTTTCCTTTAGAGACAAAGCGATTAACAGAGAGAATAACTAACATTTAATTGAAATGTAACCAGACTAACTGATAGTTGCAGCTCTGAAAATGCTAAACTATGTCAAATAATTTCTGCAGGGCAGCTGATTGGAAGCTCGATGCTCCAGACTGGTCAGGTCGAATGAGGATCACAGCCAAGGGCAAAGCGGCCTACGTTAAACTGGAGGACAAAATCTCAGGTATGACATCACTGGGTTAAGCACTAAAAACTACATTAAAACTATATTTTTATAGTAAAATTGACACCGACTTGCTGTAATGTGAAAGTCACGCTAGTGGTGATGTTTCCACTGAGAATTATGACCCATCTGTGCTGAAGCACGACTTTTCCTCACTGCATTGTATTGGTTTAACATTCTTTTGCTGTTGCAGGGGAGCTGTTTGCCCAGGCACCAGTGAAGGAGTATCCTGGTATAGCAGTGGAAACCGTCAGCGACTCCAGTCGCTACTTTGTCCTGCGGATACAGGATGACAACGGTGAGGATTTAAGTACCCCGGCAACTCCAGAATATTTCTTAACCTTGCTCAAAGACTTAAATCCTTTCTCTGCTGGTCTTAATGTGAGTTATCATCTCTTACTGGCAGGTCGCAGTGCTTTCATAGGAGTTGGTTTTGGTGACCGAGGGGATGCTTTTGACTTCAACGTGGCTTTGCAGGATCATTTCAAGTAAGCAGGGTTTGGTGGTTTTAGTGGATTACTTTCTGTTTTTTGTTGACAATCTGATAGCAGGGGATTGAAACATGTAATGTCTGTGAAACACTGGTTATGCCAAATCATCCAGTAGCCATTCTGACCACGCCAGAATTTCCTGAAGTTTCAGATCAAGACGCCACAAATAAGCAACCGACCAAAAACATGCTGATATTTGTATGTTCCTTTGCAGAATGATATTGAGTAAAAGTAGTAGTACTGCCCTCATTCCCCTTACAGGCCTTCAGCCAGGCTGAAGTTGTTCAGAATTGAATATAACAAGCAGCAGAGCTGGGTGCATCCATCCATGCTTCTGCCACTTATCTGGATCTGGGTCGCAAGGGCACCAGTCTAAGCGGGGATGCCTTGACCACCCTCTTCCTACATGCCCACCTCCTTCAGCTCTACCTGGGATACTGAAGTATTTGCAGCCTGCACCAGGAGGCATCTGAGCCACATCTAGTGGCTCTACCCTGAGCCTCTGAACTCCTCCTGCCTCCTAGCTGGTGGTTGTTGGGAAGCAGTAAGCTGGAAAAAAAAGTTTGTTTAGGTTTTGGTTCAACCATACAATATGAAATATTTAAGAAAGGAGGGAGAAAGTCTGACCATTTAAACCAAGTGTTTTAGGGGCTCATCAAACCTGTGTGCTAGCCTGTCGCATTTAAATAAAGCTTTGTTTAAAATGAGTAAATTCTGAGTGTTTGAGGAATCTAATACACAGTAAATTGCTCAAACATCAGATGTACATCCTGTCTTTAATGGTATTCAGAGTATTGATTTTTCTCTTTCACTGTAACTGTCTGCAACACAAGCACTCCACATCAAAGTGAAGTGTTGTTTTTGAGATGCGCTTGTAGAAAGCTGCTGTGGTTGTTGTTAAAACTGCTGAGGTGCATTGTTTATTTCTGTATCAGTGCTGAGAGTGTGTGTTTGTGTGTCTTGCTTCTCTGCAGATGGGTGAAACAAGAGACCGAACTCAGTAAAAATGCCCAGCTTGGGGATTCAGGACCAAAGCTGGACTTGGGCTTTAAGGAAGGGCAGACCATCACACTCAACATAGGGGTGAGAACCAGCTTATGTGCATATACAATACATGCAGATAAAAATCTGTCTATAAAAGAGGCACATGCAGGGCTGTGCTGTTGAAGGATGGGGTGGAGGCAGATCACACAAATGAGTCTGAAAGGCAGAATGACACAATGAGTCATGAAAATGATTGGACCAGTGATGACAACAGAATTGAGTTTGACAGTGATGCAAAGGACAGAAGAACAGCCTGAGCACCCAGGAGTGCAGGCAGACAAATGAATACAGATATTTCTTATTAAACTTACATTTAAGTCTCATTTAAAAAAACAAAACAAAACAGAAATACCCCATAAAAATGAAAATCCTGATTAAATTTAAAGGTTACAGTTTGTGATCCAATCCTTTAACTATCAATGAAGTATGAAGAAATACATTGTTTTTGTCATTGCATGAGCCTAACTTCATTCTTCTCCATCTGCAGCAAGGGAAAAAGAGGGATAAGCCCCGCTCACAAGGATCGGGTGGATTTGGACTTCTCCCACCACCACCTGGAGGCAAGATAGCCCCTCCTCCTTCATCAGGGTTATCGAATCACAACATCGTCCCACAGATGGGAAGCACAGCGACAGGTATGCAAACTGACTTTACATAAACATCTTCATCAGCAAATGAAAGTGCACACAGGATGTCAGGTGGGATGTTCCCCTTTGTGCAGCTTTAACATGAGTACACGAGTGAACCGTTTCCACAGGCACTGTGTTAATTAGTGGCTGTTAGATGACTCATTTGTCTTCAAGCTTCAGGCTGCAGAAAATGAGTAAAATCTGTGCCAGCTCGTAGGCTAATGAGCTCTGCTTCTGTCTCCGTCTGTCAGGCTGCCTGCTGGAGCTGGACAGTAGTAACTCCAACACAGTGGTTCAGTCAAACACTAGTTCAGATCTTCTTTGGGGAGAATTTTCTGCTCCTGCAAGGTAAGAAAATTATTTCTTGTGTTAAATTTAAATGTATGAGGACACTGAAGGATTGGGTATTTTCTAAGCTTTTGTCCACAAGTGACTTTGTGGAGGAATATCACTGATTAGCACTGGCTCCCGGTTTGAAAGGTGCTGAAAGCAGTTGAAGTTGAGTTCTGTGTTTTTTGTAGACCAGTCAAGGCCCTCCACACAAGAAGAGAGTTCTTTAATAAATCATTTAAAATATTCAGCACCTGCAAAAAACGCAGAGAATGAGAATAACAGTCATAGTAATGATGAAGGACATTCAAACATACCTTTGATGTGATAGCACTTGAAATGGATTTTACATGGTGCTTCACATGGATGGACTGACCTTGCCATACTGTAGGGCAGGAGGGAGCATATTTTTCACAGACAGCCGTACCAACTTAGCTTAAGCAAGTGAAGGGTCTTACACTTGGTAACTGAATCAAAACTACAATGTAAACTAGCAGTTTTGCACAAATCTGCCATTTGCATCTTACAGTTTTGCATACTGAGGTCCATTCCCATTAATATTAGCATGTCCTTTCCTTTAAAAAAGAAAGAGAAAACACTGTTACAGTGGAAAATATTACTAACATTAAAGAAAAGTCACTTAATGCTATATAAGCATTTAAATGGCCTAAAAACTTGTCACAATTTTTCGTGTCTGTACTAAAGAGTGATTAAAAATGTTGTACTCTAATAAAGTTAAATAGCAGTAAAGGCTACCTGAAGTCATTCCCTGTGAGGTTCCTCAGCACAAAACTGCCTGTTTTTAATTTTTGAGGGTTTTCTTTTTTGGTTTTACTGCTAGATTGTCCAGGGCCATATTAAGATGGTTAATTAGTCAGTTCTGGCATTTGGTCCATTTTTTTTTTTTTGCCTGCGTTTATTCTAAAAGTTGCAAAAATATTTCCAGATACTCTAATGCAACTAAACTTGCCATGTAAATAGGTTTACTGTGTGTGTGTAAAAGCAGCTGACACTTGTTTACAGTAAGTATTTGGCTGATGTTTGATGCTGATTTATTTTTTTTAATTACTTTGTCATTAGTTATTCATTCTTTTGTTGCAGGGAAACTAAGAACTATACAAAATATCTAAACAATTAGTTTAGATATTAATTAATCTTTTTGTTACACTAAATAGAATTGATTTGTTGATAAACGATTACAGTAATTAAGTATTTGTGGCAGCAGCAAAACAAACTTCCTGTCCTAAATTTCAAAATGTCATCTGAATAACTGGAAATTGACTGCGAGTTTTTGTTTTCAGCTCTGCTCCACCTCCGTCTCAACCACAAAACGCCACAAACTGGATCCAGTTTTGAGTCGTCGATCGTCGACCGTGACCTGCATCTCACCTGCATCTGTGTCCGTAGCTTCCTGTGCATCACACTGAGTGTAACTCCCACACACTGAACCCAAAGCAGAGACATGACACACCCACAGAGCTGTAGAATCACTTCACTCAGAGAGAGTGAAGCATTAATGCGTTAAAGCCATCACTCTATATGCGCCATCTCAATGATATTTAAGGGCTATGCGTGATGTCCCGAGTAGCAGGTGTTCCTCTTTCATGTGTCTGCATCTCCTCCCCAGTAGGTGGCTCCTACTGCGAGCAGAGCTTCATTTTTGATCTGGAATGTTTTTGTCCCCCTGCAGGCACTGCAGAGCACTACATCAACACACCTTTGCTTTCTGCATCCTGCTGTGAATCACATGTAAAGAGCAACACAGCAAAGATTAAGTGAAGGCTGCAGGAGACAAATTAAAAAAAGAAAATACGATGATTTCTGTACTGGAACATAAATCTTAATTCTGTAAATTATTCATTTTTGCAGCAGTGATCTGAGTAGTTGTAATGTTGATCCTAAAAACAAAGGAACAGTTGATGAAGCATCATGATGATCAAGGTCAGAAGGAGTTTATTTTCCTCCTAATAAGATGATAAATTTACTCTGAAGTGGAGTTTAAGTTACTCTCTCCTTTTCACATTGTGAAATGTGGAGCATTACAGCGTTGTCATCAGGGTGGATGCAGTTACATTGCTCAAAATTCTCACGTGTATGTCAGCATTCACATTTAACAACTTCAGCTCATATTGGGTTTGATTAGAAATTGATAATACAGGTGAATTTGTACATGAATCTCCAGACGTGAGGCACAAGTTTAATTGCTATTATCCAAATTTCCTGAATAAATCTTTACAGGAATCAATAATCTTCTAAATTATTCACGTGTTTGCAGAATTAGTGAATCTGAAATAGTTGGATGAGATGCTGATGTTACAATATGTGAGTGATGAATACATTAACAGTTTTCTTTCTGGTGTATTAAATGTAAAAATGTATGTTTACATTATGAAATCATGTTTGTTTACTTCTGGGTGCTTCTGATTAGCTAATATATTTGCAAATCAGAAAATCAGCTGCCAAATCCAGACTATCACTATTTTCACATATTTTGCTGCATGTTTAAAGAACTAAATAAGCTAAGAAGGATTAAATATTTGCATGTCCTACTCAGTTTCTATCAAACTGGAGGCAGAAAAATTAAAATTGCTCAAATACGAAGTGGGCTATTTTTTTCACCCCAAGTAATTTTCTTGACCTTGAATTAACCGACACATAATCAAGTCTGGTTAAAATGAATCAGAGCAGAAATGTAGGACTTATTATCAGACATTTCTATTTTTTATTTTATTTTTATTTTAGAGGGGAAACTGCTGTGAGAGAGGTCAGCCCAAAGCTTAGCTTCACTTTCTATATTAAACATGCAGTAATCATTTATATCAACTGGATTTAAAGGTTTAGAGGAAAATGTTTGGTGCACAGACACAATATTATTGGAAATGAGAAAACAAACTGACAGTTTCTTTGTGCAGTGGAAGAAGTCTGAGTGCTCCAGATTTTCACTTGCAGTTTTCACAGCCCGCTGGTTTCTGTTAATGAAACAACCATGAAGAGTTTTCCACATGTGCTGCAGTTTACCTGCAAAGACGGCCGTGTGGTGAACTCATCATTATGGAAATGAGAATAAATCTGGCAGATTTGAAGAATCTCCACATGAGTCCCAAACAGTGGTGACTGTACGAGGTTTGATGGTCTGTGGATAATGTCTGGAAATTAGAGAAACGGTTTGATAATTTGGGAAATCTACCATTTGACTTCTTTGCTGAGAGTTAGATGAGAAGGTTGATTCTCATGAATTTGAAGCAGGTGGTTAGCTTAGCTTAACGATGAAAGAAATCTGAGACACCTGGCTGTGACAGAGTCCACCTCTAATACCTCTAAAGGAGACTGATGAACACACTATATTGTGTTAAATATTATTGAGTTTTCTTAAATAAAGTGGCAATCCTTTTGTGGCCTATTTAAAATGAAATGCTCCTTTCATTGAAGTGATCTGTTTGCTGTAAGAGATTCGAACACATCAGTCTCAGGATTTGTGGCGGGGAAAAACAAAACAAAATGATTGTGTTAAATCATCTGATGAATGTTTAATGGCAGCAAATGAAATGTTAATCTTTGTGCTAAGAAGGCTTTGGGTGATTGTGAACATGTCTGACATAAAACATGCCTTGACTGTGAATATGTCTGCATAGTATCGCTGTGATCAGATCACATGAGCTGTGTTTAATTGGCATTAAGACACAGGGCTGACTGATATATGTTGACGTGTGTGTTGTTTACATTGCTCGCATCGCTGGCTAAGATTTAAAAATGTCTCCCACTTCTCATTCATTCCACTTTGGCTGTAAAATCACTGAACTAACCCTTTTGATTTATGACCAACTTAATGAGAAAGAGGCAATAAATCCTTTAAAAGGACCCTCCGAGTCTTGTCATTATTATTTTTGAATATTTAAAGCCCTCAGGAGAAACCGCATCGAATTCATTTGAGTATAAGATTAATTATTTCTAATCCTTTGTGATAAATTTGGATAAGTATGTAGAACAATCCTGATGGTGGAGCAAGAAGACCGTGTGGTGAACCACTGGGACACAAATGTGACGCCACATCTTCAGCAGCATAAATCAGAACCGCAGACATGAAAGAAAAATAAACACTCTTGTTTCTTTTGCACTTTTTCTTTCATTCAATCTTTGTCACATTTGCTCTGATCCTCTCTCCTTTTTCTCTCCCCCCTCTCTCTGTTATTTTTCCTCTCACATTTTCCTCCCTATTCAAGCTAGAGGAGGAGGCAGGGTACACCCTAGACAGGTCGGCAGTTTGTTGCAGGGCTAACACATATAGACAGACAACCATTCACACTCACATTCACACCTATGGACTACTGAGAATTACCATTTAACCTAACCCCGCTAACTGCATGTCTTTGGACTGTGGGAGTAATCCGTAGTACCCGGAAAGAACCCACGTACTGCATTTCCTTTCCTGTAAAGTTGCAAGTGTGTGTAAAACAAAGGCTTTTCACACTTGCAGTTGTCTAATTCACCACAGCAGTAGGTGTTTAGTCCTTATTATCTGGCTGTGTAGCATAGATTCATAAGTCATAACCACCAGTGGGATGTATTTGGGTCACTGGGAGGCAGCAGCCACCAGAGATGTGTCACATGGGGGTTAGTAGGTGATATGTTGGCCTTCGACACAAAGCAGGAAGTCAGTGGTCACAGAGCGGCAGCCCGAGGACAGTAAGTCATACTGTTGCATCATATTTTTGACTCTTTCAAAGTTCAAGTCATGAACTTGGAGATTTGTGTGTGTCCTCTTTAGCACCTGACAACCGTAAAGACAAAGTCACCCAGAGTTCTGGCCTAAAATCATACAAGTCATCTCCTCCTTCAGAAGACTGAGTTACAGGAAAAACTTCTCATTGCTGGCTCTGAAGAAATGATCCGCTCATCTTGAATTAATATTAGAAGCAATGCTGACTTGCAGTGTGAGCTGTGTGACCTTATACACGTAGGTGTGTGTCTTTCTAAACAACCATGTGTCCAAATGATTCACTTTGCCACAGCTTAATGATAACTAGAGCAAAACATGTTGGACCCGATAGGAACTTTAAAAATAAAGAGTCTAAATGACAGATTTAAGTTTATGATTTTTTAGAAATGTGCAAAAAAACCAACAAAAAATGAGTGAAGGCAGTGATTATTTCAACTGTAACGTGTACTGAATGTAAAGTTAGGACCATAAATATTTGCACAGAGACAGCTTTTCTCATTTTGGTTCAGTACATTATCACAATGAATTTCAGTGAAACAACTGAGACACAGTTGAAGTGCAGACTTTCAGCTTTAATTCAGTGGGTTTGTGAGGGTGCGGGGAAGCAAAGTCCAATCTAGCCTTTCTATTCCTGAGGCTTATGATTGGCTTGTACTTTGCAGTGAATCCTCTGTATCTATGTTCATACAGTCTTCGATATCGATACACCTAGCTCCTGGAGAGTGTTGTTCACTTGGTTGGTTGTTGTGAAGGAGTTTCTCTTCACCATGGAAATGATTCTGTGATCATCCACCACTGTTGTCCTCCGTGGATGTCGAGGTCTTTTTGGGTCGCTGAGTTCACCAATGTTTTCTGTCTTTCTCAGCATGTACCAAACTGTAGATTTTCTACTCCTAATATTGTAGCAATTTCTTGGATGGATTTTATTCTGTTTTTGCAGCTCACAAATGTCTTGTTTCATCTGCACGGAGAACTCCTTTTTACTCAAAATGATTTAAAAATGGCATGTTGTTCAGGAACTACATGCTCTCACTTGCACATTTACAAAATGCTCAAATACATTTTTTGTGTGACCTGAGATCAAGCTTGACCTTCAATCACTGATCATACTACTGCACATAGGCTACATACATTTTCTTTACAAAAACATAGTGCTGAATTTATGTCGAGCATTTTAATATTTTCGCAATCGCTATCATATTATGAACTCTCAGCATGAAGCTAGTTAGGGAGACAGTTGTAGCAGAAGTGAGAAATATTGCGTAAGGTGACCTCATTGGGTAGGAGCTTTTAGCTCTGCTGACAGACAGAAAAAGAGAGCAACAGACAGCTGGACAGACAGACTGCTGGTCTCCTCCGAGCTTCATTAGGAACACGATTCATCTTCCTCTGATTTTGTTGTCACCCCATTTTGGCCTCTGAGGTCATTTATGGTGTCTTTTTTCACTAAAGCTGCACCAGCACCGAACACGTGCAAGCACAGGTGTGAAGGCTTGAAGTTTGTATGTCAGGATGCATGTTTACGTGCATGTGTGTTCCTGTGCAAACTTGTTTTGAATGTGTTAAATGAGACCTGGGGGTGGACTAAGTGTGTTTGTGTGCACATAGTGAAGAATGGTGAGAGGCTGTTGACTTAAAGATGATTTTAAAGGGCTGTTTGAGGTTAAAGGTTAAAATTAATTTTAGGTTTAGGTTATTAAAGACAGTTAGAAGATCAACATATGTATATGTGAGTAAATCCAGATCCTTTTTCTGATCTGGGTCACCTCATGCTCTGTAACATCTCTCTATCACACTACACAGAAATTCTGGGTTTTCATTTTATTTGTTATCCCTGCATTCTCACTAAAGATTTAGTTTCACTTTCCAGAGAATCTCCTCATCTCTATCACAAGTGTGATTATCAAATTTAACAGGTCATTCCTGACTCTGATGTGTAATGTGCATTACTCTCAACACTGAAACTTCTGATAAAAACTTGTTTTTGTTCCTTTCTGACGCCTGTAAACCCTGCAGGTTCTCACGTACTTTAAACACTCAACAGCAATGTTAGTCGTCCTTTGGGACAAATTAAAATTTTGCCATCTGACCAAGAGATGTCATTGTTGCAAGAGTAAAGTCACTGGCAGGTAAACTGCCCATCTGGAGCACTGGGACACGTTTCTCTTTTCTCTGGCCTGGGCGTGATTTGGCCATGAACAGTCAGTTAATACTGATATTATGCTTGCGCACAATATCCCAGCAATATTTGTTCTTTTTGTACAGTTATAGTTACAGACTGTCTCTACGTCCCTGCACAATCCTTATACCTAACCTGTTATGTAAATAATCCACAAAATCCACCATCTTTTCAATGACTGCAGAAAAAATGACAGCTTTAATGATGCATTTACAACAGAGTCTGTGAAACCAGTCTGGTGCAGCTCACTCAGACAGACTGACTAAACAGCGAGCTGGACTTGAGTCTAATCATAGCCTAGCATCACCTTCAAGAGCACACTCATCAGCACTCCATAAAAAATACATAAGTACTTTATTTCTTGGCTCAGGGATACGATTTAAAGAATCCAAAGCCTGTTCCTGGAGTCAACATGTACCCATTAGAGGAGATCGATTTTCCTCCTTCAGATCCAAATGAGGTTCAAGTGTACATTTAAATTCTGCTCTGAATCTCTTGTCTCAGCACATGTGAGTTTCATTTAAAGTCAGCCACAAAACAACACTGCAGTGTCTTTTTTTAAACTTTTGTTTGTTTGTTTTTTGGTACACGCTCTGCTCCACCAAACAAATGCCAATTCTACATCAGCATGGTATGAGGTAAAGTCTGGAACAGTGAAGTGACTTCATTCAGAATCAGAAGAACAAAAAACTTTTCAAAATCATTAACTGGCCTCAGCTGTTCTCATTTAGGCATCTCAGTGAAAACATTGAGACAGTCACATGATCAAGTAACTATTGCAGTCACATAAAAAGTGTTTATATTTATATTTAATCTTTAAAATGCTCACTTTTAGTAGCAAGGTTTCTGTAAATGTAAAAATGTAAAACAATATTTGTCCAAATTTGAACAATTTCCCTGATATTTGTCCTATTCTTACTACAGGTCCTACTGGCTGCAGAACTGGAGTAAAGCTGCTCTCACAGGAATAACAGCTGAAGGATGATTTTTGCTGCTTGTTTCCAGGAAAAATTTCTTCTGTAACTTTTCAGTTAAATTAACAAGCAGGGTGAAAATGAAACTTAATTAAACTGGATAATATCAATGAGAGCCAAAGTGAAACAAATAGATCAATATGATGAATTTGTGTTACGTCTAAAGATCCAGACTAAGGAGTGAGCTGTTCTCTGGTTGGGGCTCATATTTTTGTGAGTTGTTTATTTGGTACATGTATAGTTTTTGAGCCCAGAGTCTGTTTGATGTATTTGGCCTGCAGTTTTTCATATTTCAATTGAAATACCAGGTACTGCACAGGGCTACAGTACGCTGCTGTATATTTTCTGGTTTTTTTCTTTCAAAACACAGCAAGTTTTTTAAAATTCTGTTTCTCAGTTTTTAATTACTTCCTTACACTTATAGGATACATTTAATCTTGTCGGCTTGTTAGATAAATACACAGTCATACATACTGTCACACAATCTTGGCATACTTCACATAGCGTTAATGCAACATATCAAGTGAAATGTCAGAAGTTTGGATGGGAGCAGGTCTCAGGCCACCGGCCACGTCTGCCCCCCGCCCGGGGCCTTTGGCCTTCGAGAGAATGATACGATCATCAAACTGTCTCTCTTTAACGAGCTCACTAATTCACGACTTCTGGCACGGCGAGGTTTATAAGATAACTTACAAACTGCTGCTCCTTGCAGATGATCTCTTCATTTAACTATGCTTCTTGATTTAATCTACATGAAACTGGATGTTAGGGTGATTCAGGTATTGCTGGGGTCAGAGGTCAAAGGTTAAAAGATTAGTGACTTTTTTGATTTGACATTTTCAGAGAAACCTGAACCAGCAACTTAGCTGGATGATTTTCATGTTAGTGATGTCTTTGTATAAACGAAGAAATATTTGCACCTGTAAGTTTGTTCACACAGTTCACGACTTTAGAATCTCAGCTTTTCAGGAATGAGAGAAACCATCCAGCTGTATTTTTAGCCTCATGGCCATGTGCGCTTTAGTTTATCCAACTGATGTGGAAAAGATTTGACGAGCAAACTCTCAACTGAATTAAAGATATGATCACGACTAAAAATACATTTACAAGGTATCATCAGGTGAAACACGATCATGGCTGTGTGTGCTGTGTAGAGATGATACATGTAGATTTGCTACTGAGGGCTCTGTAGGGGGCACTCGAAGAACTATATATTATTTCTACAATAAACTCCATTGTGGAAGCAGCTGCTCTTTTAACTATAGATGAGAACCAATTAGCCTTGAAGTTGTTTCCAGTCCTAAAAGGGCAGAGTTGTGGTTGGTGGTGTAGGTGGTTAAAGAGTGCAGTTTGGAAACACTTCAGATAAAGCATCAATGTCATCTGTGCATCTGTTTCCTCTAAAACTGCATTCTAACCAATCACCAGTGGGGTCTCTGGCTTCCAGCCACAGATGACAGCGATGAGCTCATCACAGTGTGGTGCACAAGACGCCAAGTAAAATTTAAAAAAGCCGCACAAAAATTCTTCTTTATTGAATTTTGTGTTGTTAAAGATAACATCATAAAGATGACAGATAACCAGAAAGTTTGGTAAACCTATGTCTGGTTAAAACTGTATTTTCCATTTAATAGCACAACTGCCTCCTCAAGCTTTTCCATGGAAACTCTGGGCTTCCATAGCAAAGCTGTGGGCCAAAAGCAAACTTACTTTCATGCGAGTGCATCTTATATTCTCAAAGAGAGTGAAAGGTACAAAAAGAACCTTGTCTTGTTTTTGATTTCACCTCTGCTTGTCATTTACGACTGCAGGTTTTTTATTACGCCTGGCAGCAGTTCGGCATTCTGCGGTCAGCCACACCTCCCACTCTCCCTCTCCTCTCACACTCTGAAAGCTGCTGACTTTCACTTTTCCACAGATGTGTCAAAGATACAGTAGCTGGCTTTGTCACCTTCTGAGCCAGAGAAATTGACACTAGAAGTTTCAGTGAGCATATATAAGCCTGTAGCATTCAGTTCCAACTATGAAAATAATAGAAAAGTATCTGTTAGTGGAGAAATTGTGATTTTAAGTTGGACTCTCAAAGTGTGCAGATGGTGAAACCGAAATAATGTATCCAGTTTATTTTTATTATGTGCAACTTTGCAGATAAAACAGTTTTGGTAATGGTATTGTATTTTTGTGTTACATATCATCTCCTCCTGTATCTGAAATAGCATCATGCAGGTGAATTTAATTGTAAATATAAACCAAAACATTAGCCAAATGTTCCAAAGATGTACCAAAACCACAGTGATATTATACTTAGCTGGTAAAACATATCTGTGAAGTGGAAAACAAATATACAGGTATGATGCTTTCAGTGCCTGTGCAGCAGAACCTTCATTATTCCAATAAATGAGGAATTTTAGCTGCTCAGGAGCTTCAGCTCTGCGGTGTTGGTGGATTTCCTCACATAAGCTGCTCCAATCAAATCCTTCCACAACATTTTTGGTGGATTAAGGTCAACACTTAAACCTGGTCATTCAAAAATATCACCATCCATTCTTCAGTAGCAGAAGCTGTGTGCTTAAGCTAAATTTCTTGCTGTCTCTCATTGTTCGGTTCACAGAAAGATATCCTAACATTTTCCTTTGAAGTATTATTCAAGAATGCATTGCTCCATCAAAGACGGTGAGTCGTCCTGACCCCAGTGTAGCTAAACAGACCCAAAAAAAGACACCATTATGCAGGAATGCAATGGTTTCTCATCTCCAAACAATTTACATTCAATGCCAAAAGTTCTATTTTAGTCTCATCTGAAACATTGTTCAAACAGATGTTTGGCAGGTCCAGGTTATATTTAGCAAACTACAGATTTAGACCAGCTGTACATTATTCCTCATTAACATGAACATTAGCAGACATGAGAGGATTTTTCCCTTTCCCTAAAGTTGCCCCCTTTACTACCTTTTTGACTTTTATGATTTCCTAATACACGCCTTAGTCTCAGAGGGATATTTGTTGTTTAATCGCTCATTTGATGGTTAAAAGTGTTTTCTTGTGTTTGTAAATAATCTGTCAGACTGTGGAGTGTAGTGTGATGAGCAACAATAACTCTCTTTCGGTTGTCCTCAGTAATGGAGTCAGACTCTGATGGATCCCACTGCTCTTCAGATAAAATAGGAGCATCAGTTCACACCTTTCATGGACTGAAAACACCTGAAAGACTTCAGCTGCCAATTCTTGAGGTTCATAGACCTTTGGTACTCACAAATGACCAGCTATATATTTTTGTCATGTTTTATTTTCACTGGGTCTCCTTTGTGCCCTATGTGTGTGTTTGAGTAAGAGTTGTGTGTGTTTCAGTCATTATTTGTCTGTCTCAGTTGTCAGTCCATGTTTGGTGAAGTTCACTGTGTCTGTGGTGAAACTGACCTCTGTGTTAAAAGTCCAGCTGATTGCAATTGCAGGAGAAAGTATGACCGCGTGCGATCCGGCTGCAATGTGGTGCTGAGGGGTCAGAACTGTGGGCCGCGGCACATACTCAGTGCTGAAAGGTTGTAACGACACATTTACAACCAGGGCCCTATTTTTGCAAACACATTGGGAAGCTTTCCAGCGGATCCTTGTCTGTGAGTGCGTGCATGTGTGGTATATAATCTTACTAGAACATTACTGAGATATGATCCAATCAGACATGTTAGGTCAGCATGTTTAAAATCCTCAAAAATGCATATAATTGTAAAACAACTTACATTCAAATAAAATGGTCATATATATAAAAATAATTTTATTACATTAAAAGTATACTTTATAAACAATATATCATTATACAGCTACAGAAGTATTTACACAGTCTCAGTAAGATATTGCACTGTTATCATTATTATGTATAATAATTTTTATATTTTATAATGTTTTACAATACAAAATAAAACAAAATTAGTCTTTTGGTGGCGCATAAAATGCTACACATGAGCTGCCAAGAGCTTAGTGATAGATAATAACAATAATAATGAGTTACATTAGCTAAACTTTGTAAGCATTTTAGGGTATAAAAGTGCTATTAAAGTGTTAACATATATTATTACTCTCAGAAAACTGTTTTTTAAAGCCAAAAGCCAAACAGTCAAAACCCCCTCCGTGGTCTAAAGTGGACCTCAGAGGTGTTTATGACTTGGCTCTGCTGCGGTCTATTTACAGTTCATAGCCTGCTATGATGTATTATACTCTCTGAAATCTAGAGTCAAATATAGATGCAGTGCTTTGCAGAAGTTATGTGATCATTACACACTAAACAGACTAGTTACACACCAGTTAATGCAAATAATCTTGATGCCTACAGCTGTTTCTACACTGGTCATTTAAAATGTTGGTTAAAGTAAATATTTTTCATTTATTTGATGTGAATCAAGCAGCTGTTAGACTTCCTCACTAACCGACAGTTTCCCAGAAAGCAAATTCCCCATAAACCAGTTTTGTTTTAACAAGGGGAATTTTTCCAAAGTTGTTTTCTTAATGTTTAGAGGTTAAACATGTGGGAGGTGATTTTTTTTCTTCTTCTAACACATCGACCACCTGCTTCCTTTCCCTTACACAACCTGATGGCTCACAGTTAAATGTAATAGAAGCTTACCTCAGCATTGGTCATAGTGTAGTATTTTTTTTGTGTTAATCTATGCAACAGAAAAACAGAAAGAATTTAAAAAGCAGTGATGTAAAGTTACAAAATTATCTTAGACAGAAAAGAGCATAGAAAGACATTTGTCTCTTTCAGCTTAGTTTTGGTAGACTTTGTTAACTTAACGCTCTCCTCTCCCCTCCATCTCTTTCATGTTTCTGATCCCTCCTTTCCCTCTACTCTTCTTACGCGCCTTCTCCAGCCTCACCCTCTCTTTCTCCATCATCCAGTCTCCTCCCAGGTAACTCAAAGCCTCATCAGGTTGCCTACGAAGCTGTGGCCGTGGGTTGAGGAGTGACTGGAAAAAGGAACAGGCCAAATGGGTGAAACATGCAAACTGGGGAGCTTTGGGAATGTGCTTCTTCTTTTCCAGTCCAGCCTCATCCAGATCCTGCGGGCTCTCTGTTTGTGGCTCAGCCCACACGTCCAGTTCATCGTTGGGGCTTTTACTTCTTTCAAACCACTCTTGATATTTCAGGTATGAGTGGCAGTCGCTGGCTGTTTCAGCCCAGGGGTGGCTGCCGGTAAGCATGGCGTATGTCAGGATGCCCAGTGCCCAGCTGTCTGTACTTGGCTCCACGGAAACCCAAACTCTCTTTTTCTTCTTCTCTTCACCATCCTTGATGCCATCATTTCCATCAGTTATATTGCTGCTGTCATTGTTTCCTCGAGCAACCTCAGCCTCGGGGGTGCAGTAAGGAGAACTGTACCAGACTTCTGGGATCCTGGTTCCCCTGGACTTTACCTGGGTAAATATTGATTTGCCACATTTAGACTGATAGTGGATGCAAATATGGATAAATTAGATGAAATATGCCATAAGTCTTGTGCAGAACACATCTGAGCCATAGGCGGCTGCTTTTACTTGGTTTTCTTCTGCATCATATCTTAGCGAACAGCTTGTTAATAGACCTGCCAGCTAGATGCTATTGTTATTTATGTTAGTTTTGTCCTTCATACTGACCATGCCAAAGTCTCCCAGTTTGACCCAGCGGCAGGCAGAGTCACAAAGGAAGACGTTTTCTGGTTTGAGATCTCTGTGGACAAAACCAAGTGAGTGCAGGTGGGAAAGTGCACCACACAGTTGAGACACCACCCGCTGACAGCAGTCCTCCTCCATACCAAGCTACAGAACAAATGGAGAAGAAGAAGATAGAAATATAAAATAATTATTTCAAAGTCTAACAAAACAAATTATCTTCCAAAACATAAATACAGTGTGAGTTAAATTGTTCAGGAATCATAAGTGCTTTGTTAAAATCTTTATACCTCAGGTATGATGACTTCGTACAGATCACCGAAGAGGCTGGCTTGCTGAGCAAAGATGTAGTGTGATGGTGTGGAATAGGCTATTCCCAGAGCTCTGGTCAGGGATGGGTGTGTACAGAATGACAGGGAGAGGTTATACTCCCTCAGGAAAGAGAACAGAGAAGTAGAGTCACGAGGGAAGAACTTCAGAGCCATCGGAGTACCTGAAAGATCCAAAGATACTGTACTGATGTTGGTGTGTTTTTAGGGGATCTTGAAGCCATAATGTGTTAGCTCCTCACCTCTCTTTCTGTGTACAGCCAGCATAACCTTTCCATATGAGCCTTCACCCAGCAGCTTCAGGACCTTGAAGTGCTCTGATGTGTCCATTGAGTTCAGAGACTGAGCCGTCAGATGACACATCTCATCCAAAAGTTTTGCGGCAGCCTGGACAAATAAACACAAAGTACTGTAATTACACCAATGCTCTTCCAGTGGTTTCTTTGTTTTTTGTTTTGGGGGGGGGGGCATGAATTCAGTAAGACCTTTGGCTATCCCAAGCAGCTTTCTTAGATCTGACTCACCATAATCACTCACGACAGGATGGCAGGATGACAGTTTTCTTTAAAACTTCCACTCAAAAGTCTGTATAAAAGTGTCTAAAAATTGTCTAAAACCTATGTGACAGGCCGAAAACAACGTGACCTTTATTAATTTGTATCAGTCAATAAGAAATCAACAGGTAATCTCCTAAATCTATTAAATGATCTTTACCGCGACAAAGTAGGTTGGGTAAGTGCTCAGTAGGTTTCAGGAGTACCTGATTATGTGGTTGCTTAGAAACCCGCATAGTGATAACATTTTATATTAGTCTTGCAATTGAGTGTTGGTGGTTAATTTAAAGCCCACATCTAATTGAATAGGGGGGTGAGATAACAAAACATTAAACCAGTACAGACTGACTGGTCAAATCCAATGAAAAAAAAAGCTTCAAGTTTGTTGACTAAAGAAAGCTAAAAATATCTTTTTGTGTTTGTACTCCTCCTATACTATACTCTGACTATGAACCTCCACTGTGTACAGGTGTCAGTGTTTAACAGGTTGTGGGTCCTTAGGGAGCAGGGATTGTTTCCTCTCATAGATCTCTATTCATGAGTGTCATGTCTCCTACTTGTATAATGTCTTTGGCTTTGTTGATACAAAGCTTAATGGGTGGGAATGTGAGAAATCTTCATAATAAGATTTCTAGGTGAGTAGTGTCCCTGTGTAAAAGCAGGCTGAATAAGCAGGTTTCTTATATTTCATGTAAGCAGATGATGGTGACAAGACTCCACACTATTTATTGATATCATACTACTGACTTCCTAAAATATCTCTCTTCTGAACTGAATCCCTCGCAGCTCTTTGGAATGTAACACCACCATTGCAGGGATGATCGTCGTCATGGTGATGCTTGCAATACTCGTTCCCGGGTATAAACATGTCTGTTAATAGCCTCGTTAAATCCCCACACACAGTCACACACGCAGCAGTGTTTTGTTTTGTCTGGTGATGTTTCCACTACAGCTGGCACCCTCGGGCCTGGGTTAGTTTGGATTAACTGTCACCGTACGCATCCAGACAGGGAGCCTCTCATTACAGCTCATCAGTGAACAGCTCAGAGCCGTCAATGTGCTGCTCACAGAGGCCGTGAACCCTTCACTGAGGCTTTGTTCACACTAAGAGAATGACTCAGATCTACCTAAATTTTTTCTGCCCATAAAATTTGGTAATTTTACTCTTATTTGTCTTTAATTTCATAAAAGGGCCCCAAGAAAGAGTTACATTACATTAGCAGTTAGCTGGGAATAAATGCACCTTATTTTTAATCATTTGCACCAAATTAAGTTTTTGCATTAAGTTTCCATTTTAAAGAAATGAAGATTATAACTTTGGCAAACTGTGCCTTCCTAAAATAAATGCAACAGATATTTATCCCATGCTTTTTGATAGCTAATAATAATAATAATAATAAAAACTGTTGCAACATCAGTGGGTGTCATTTTATGCTCTCTAATCCTCCTCCACTGGGTGGTTTGGGTGGAAACTGAACTCTAACCCTCTGAGCATCTGTGTAATGCCCACATTACTAAACTATCAGAGATAAATGGCAGGACCATTTGATCCTTTGCAGCAGTTTATATGTAATTTGTTAGATAAACAATTTAATTAAATTTGATTTATATAGTCCAAATTACAACAACAGTTACCTCAAGGTGCTTTATATTGTAAAGTAAAGACAAAAACACAGAGAAAACCCCAATAATCAGACAAGACACCCTGTGAGGAAGCACTTTGGCAACAGAAACAGGATCAGTAAATGAGGGAGTAAATTGTTTGTGACTTTTTAAAAATATAACATCTTCGTTATTGTGGGTCTAATAATAAGTGTTAAAACACACAGTATAGATTTTAATATGCTTCTTTTATCTCTAAATATGAAGGTGCATGGTTTAACTGAAGAGCAGGGATCATGTAGAAGATTCCTGCTCAGATAACAGGGAAAAATCCAAAGTTTTCCATTAGTGAGACTAAATGCAAAGAGGCAGTTAAGACGATGTTTAAAGAGCAGCATAGCCGACGGCCTCGGAGGTCAGAAAGATGTAAGATGAAGTCAGGATCAGTTTCAGCCTGACAAGAACAACTCCAGCAGCCCTCAGTGGGATGCCGGGCTGAGCAAACACAAACTAAGCCTATAAGCTACTTAGGGTACCAAGATTTGTAGCATTTGTGTGGTAATACAAAATATTTACATCAATTACAAAGTACTGTTTGTCCAAATGCACGTTATATTTTTACTGACCACCAGACGATTCAACTCTTAAGAACCGGACAGTTTTTGACCATGTTTGCCATAAAAGGCATTGCTGCGAATGATGGGTGTGGTTGTTGTACTCATACCTCTGCCCAAAATCATATTTTGCACTAATTTAGTAATTAAGCCATTTGGATTTATGATTCACATGTAGAGCAACATTTACAAATAATAGAAAACATGTGTAAAACAATCACTGTAAACAGCTGATGCTGAAATGAGCCATACTAAATACATGATGTGGCCATTACCATACCATCACTTTTTATAGTTTACATGGTCCTAATGAATTTCTAATGGTTCCAAATTCTTAGTAATTAAATATATTTTCTTTAAAATTCTCAACTGTAATTGGGCCAAGTTTGATGGGTCGACATATTAATGCACATACACTGTGAGTGCAGTGTGCATTGTATCCAGTTACTCTATTTAAATTATTTTTAAATGATTGGATGAGCCAGTGTATTTTTTAAATTAAGTTTTCCAGAGGTAATTTGGGTTTGATTGGTCCAGGTTAGGACAAATCAATAATTAAAATATCTCCTTCGAGAATAACTGTCCTTGTTACACAGGATACTTCTCCACCTCTGACTTACCGTCATGTTGCTGCAGTTGTTCAGTTCAAAGTCGGTGATCCAAAGCTACGTTCTCCTCTTCATTTAGCAGGTGCACCAGTTGGTAGAGCCTCCACACCGAGTCTTCTTTCCACCCACTGCACCAAAATGCAGAATTGTCACAGCCGGCAGAGTTTGGTTGTAGTCTGCACTCAGTCAGGAAAACCCTTCGACTGGATTGCGAGAGGCTTTCGTGGCTGCTGCTGCTACAACCTTTATCTCAAAGTGTTCTGTCCTCACCTCCCCTCCTCCTCGTGTCCTCTCTTATTGCAGTGAAAGGCGGATCCACACATGTTTGTGTGTGTAGAAGACCGTATGTTACCTCCAACCTGTCATTATTTGGGTTTTGAGTTCAGTTGACCTGTGTTTTGCACCAGTTATCTCTGTTGAACATTTCACACATTTTACAATTGTGACTGTAATTTCAAAATTGACTTAAAATTCCACAAGTGGCACTGACGACTGCTAAAAACATGACTCTCTATGAAATAATCTTTAGTGCACATTGTCATAAAAATAAAGTAAAAAAACCCCCAGAAATTTGTAGAAAGTATGACACATCTTAAATGGCTTTTGTTGTCTGCTAAAGAATAAATGTTGGTGGTTTGACAATAGACAGCTGCAGCAAAGGACAATGGAATTAGTCTGGATCCATGATATAGTCCTGGATAGCTGGATAAATGGTTAAGAAAATGGATAGGTGATCAAGTCAAAGAATAAATCTCACTTAATATGGCACTCAGTTTGATAAAATTTATTACTGCTGTGATTGGAATGCAAATATCTGAGATCTGATATTTATTTTGAATGCCAAAGCTTGAGTGGTGTGTTTTTCAATGCTTTCTACACCACACCTCAGTGCCACCTAACAATGGTAGACCTGCATACTTTCAAAAAGGAACACTAGCTTGGAAGAGCATGGAAGGAGAAAGTACAAACGCCCACAAAAACCTGTTGCTCTCAAAGGAAAATGTAGCCGACAGTTGGATTCTTTTCCTCATGCAGTCATGTTAGGTTCAGCACTCACTGGGAAGCATTTATTGCACTTACAGTAATGTATTGAGTTGTTTTCAGCTCCCACACGTAACTGTGGTCTACTCTTCTTGTGCAGATGTGGTGAAGCAGAGGACATGGAACATATGAGACTACATTCCTGTAATGACCCAAATATTTGGCTTTGTGATTTTAAATCAACAAGTGTCATTCAAAAAAAGCTGAAGAATCTTTATTCAGCCTGTTTCTAATCTGTAACATGATCAGCATGTCTTTTATGTTCCTTTCCTCTTCTTCTTTTTTCTCTGTCATCTTAAATATTCACCAGCTGCTCTGAACATTGACTTGTAAACACCAGTGAAGTGTCCTCTGGCACCGAGATGAAGAGCATTTTATCAGCTCATAGTAATCTATGAGGAACTGAACCAAACTGAACATTGGTGTCATATTTTTTTAATGGTACCAATAAAACGAAAACTATTTTAAATCAGCATATTGTTGTTTTGGTTATTCCCTCCTCTGCTGGTCCATTGTTGCCCCGTTGGTCACTAAGTCAACCCATTAGCACACATCATACACATATAGTCCCGCCTTTCTTCAACCCTCTTTAGCTCTATATCCAGTGAAAGGATTCTCCTGTAACACCCGGACCCCTTGTGATTTCACTGATCCTGCTCTCAGCTGCTACCAGCCACCACAGTCCACACATACTGGACAACTGCAGTGTTCCTCTGGAGGCCTCATATTAGTTACAGTGAAAGTCTGTCTGTGGGTGAGATCATCTGTCTGTGCCTACATATCAACACGCTCATATGCAATCCTCATTATGCAAGCAACACGGTGTCACTTCAGTTCAGGGTTGCAGGTCGCAGCTGAACAGTGGCAGTCGGTACATTCCCCTCATGTGTCACCCGGACTTGTGTGGGCTCTTTTACCCCTGCTATTTAAAAGTTTTAGCATTCCACTGACATGTGTGGCATGTTTGTGTTTTCTACTCAAGAAGCTAGGAGTATTTTTTCAGCTTTAGGGGGAAAAGTTGTATAAAACCATGTTCCGTTTTGGGCAGATTATATATATAAACTGTATATAAAAGACGGAAACTTCTGGATCTAAAAAGGGAAGTCAATGCTGAAGTGCCCTGCATTTTTTCTAATAGCCAGCAGGGGGCGACTCCTATGACATCAAAAGCAACTTCAAGGGTTTGGAAATTACTTTTGACTTACAACTCAGTGAAGCTTTCCTCATGAATTTATGGTCTCAGTTAAAATAGAGATATGCTTTATCTTACTCAAAGGTTGGGAAATTACTGTGTCAAAGCAGCCAAAATATAAAAATGTCATCTCTGTGTTTCCGGTTTCACGTTCCTTGTTGGATCTTTGGGTTCCCTGGTGGTTTGTTCATCACGCCTTCATGGACTCAACAATTTTGGATTTTGTGTTTGGTTTGGACAATCAGTAATAAACTCTCCCATTATGTTTGTACTTCTGTTTCCTGCATCATGCACTCAAAAATATACTGAACTCAACACAGGAGATTGTGATGATCAAAACTATAAAAAACACCAGTGCTGAGGTTTTTCTAACAAGTGAGGAGCAAATGTTAAAGTAAATAATGAAAAATCTCTTTAATTCAAAAAACAAACACAGACAGACAGACACACACCAAAAGTATCACACTGAGCACTTACATCAGTTTCTAAGGCAGTTTTATTAATGACTGTAAAACAAGACATACAAATATATAAATAGCAATATGATGGTTTATAGAATGATAATAGATATTATTATTAAATATTACAAAATACTTTGACATAGAAAAATGTTTAGCTACAGATGCCTGCATCTGCAGCTAAACTGATATGCAAATACATAATATAAAATCTTATAAATAGTAACCTAATTATGTACCGAAAATAACAATAAAAAACACGAACTGCAGGCACTGTGAGTGTAAACAGTCTGAGAGGGAGTAAAGGTCACAGGTGACAGTACCTTAGCACAGTGCATTAATACAATACATTTCCAAAGGCGACACGTAAACTGTGACATACACGTATTTTCTTATAAATAGCAAATTACATTAACGTACAGTACATTCTGTTTCCTTTTCTCAAAATAGGTCTTAATGACAGGCAGCATAAAGAAAATCCCAATAATCCAGTAAGATTTCTCTCATTTTAAAAATGCTGAAACCTTTATCCTGCATTTTTTGAACTTTTCTGTAGCTCTACTCTCTACTCACCACTTCTGACATGCTAGTAGCTTCGTAAGGCTGTACTTGGACTACAGTAGCTATTTAAGAATGCTCACAATAACAATGACAGTACATTCTGGTGCTAACAGATATTCAATGTTCACTGTCTCAGATTAGCATGTTAGCAGGCTAAAACTGACTTATTAGCACAAAATACAAAGTTTAGTCCAGCTGGGAGTTGCAGTTTTAAAGGCATTTGTTAAAAATAAACTAAAGTGAAGTAACTGAATTTTAAACAAATAAACAAAATACAGACAAGACGTCAGACCGTTCATCTCAAGGGAGACATCAACATCTATTACCCTATCACTGTTGAGACGTTTAACTCAAAGTTCTGTATCATGGACCTCAATCAAATATGAAAAATTTCAGAGTAATGGAAAATTAAATATCATATCCTGCCATGACATGATATGACATCAAATATTCAATATTTTTTAGTCCAGCTCAAATGCTGAAGGGAAAATCATAAAACGTGACAGTGGTTATGTAGGAAGACATCACTAGTTTTGTCTTGGAGGATTGAGTTTAATGTTTTGGACAGGGGGATCGTCTCTGGAGTTGCCGTAAGATTCTTTTTGACCAGTGACAGAAGACTTGTAGCCGGTCTGAGATCTCTACAGAGAACCTGAGAGCCTCGAAGGCTGTGGAGACGACCGGGAGGGAGGGAGACGCCGTCTGAGGAACTTGTTCACCGATCTGAAGATGGAAAGAAAAAGAAACCAAAGTCATTGGTTGAATCAGAGAAAGCACAAAAACTGATTGTTTTCTCTTCACTCTCTGGATGAGTTTTAATGGGAATCAATACATTTAGCTGTGGAGTTGAATGATTAAATGTCAGGTCTGTTCTTAATTTGTTTGTTTCCTTTTGTTAATCTATATTTTGGTCATTGCTTTCTTTGAGAGACAGGAAAAAAGAGTTTAAGAATTTAGTCTTTATTCCTTTATTTTTTTAACCCAGGTGGTGATTAAATTATGTAATGACTACGTGGTCAAAAACAACACAAAAAAACCAAAAAAAATCAAAAGATGAATGTGAGTCAAAGTTAAAGTTTTACATTGTTATGTCAAACACTATCTTTTACATTTTGTAGCCATATTCTTTAATTTACTTTTTGCTCTAATATCAACAGTATCAGTTTTCAGTTAAAGTTAATATTAAATTAAAGTGTAAGAAATCTCTTGTGTGTCATTTTCAGTGGATTTTCTTTCTAAAAAACAAGCAGACTCAGTAAATTCAAGCCATACTGTTGCTCTCACCTTTTCTAGAAATTTTTTAGTGAGATCGGACAATTGCTCGAGGTGGTTGCTGGCGCCCTCAGCTGCCTGAAAGGGCACACTGACATTTACTTGTGCAGTTTTCAACCACTTGGTGTGCAGCCTGAAGGACTCGACGTACACGTAGAGCTGAGAGAGAGACTCGTTAACCTGCAGAGATGTTAAGGCGACAAATTAAGTGAATATCTTTTAAACTTTGATAGCATTTAGAGTGCATTTTGACCGTTTAAATCACTGATAGGAGAAACTGGATGATTACCTTCAACGAGTTGAGATGGGCAGCAGTGTGTTTTATTACAGGAAGACTGTCCAGTTTGTGTTCTATGTCCATGAAGGTCACAAGCTCGGCTTCTGGCTGTTAAAATATAGCGAAAACGGAGGTTTAAAACATAACCAGATTTTCTTATAATACTTATTATATAGGTTTTTTAATTCTTAAACATAAACTAGAATGCTCACTTGAATCAGATAAGACATTTTTCAAGCTTTCAGTTCACAGTTATGCACTTTCACTTTTGGTGATTTACTATGTTCTTTAAATGACTCATTTTTCACTTGCTTTATTAAAAAGCGCACAACCAATTCTCTCATTTACCGAGACATTTTACAAGCCTTTCGCAGTAACACTCCTACAAAGTTTGTGCTCAAGTGTATCGTGCTTATTTTTAATTACGCCTCAAATTTTTCTATTTCTTAGTTG